GGGGTAATTAACCTATATACAGTGTAATTTTCAGCGAAGGGGGTTTGACTGAACCCCTTTTGCCCACCTAGCTCCGCCCTTATGCATATATACCGACTATATTTGACTCGAAAATAATATATACATACACTTTAAAAAAAATCAAAATATTAATTTTCAGTTACATATGGCACCCAATATTATTGAAAGAATTACAAGAAAATACACATGACTTCACACCATAACAAAAAATGGCCCATATTTTTAAGTTTTACCCCACCTAGCCCACGTTATACATGTTTTGAAAACTGAAACGGTATTTTAAATTGTTAAGCATTATGACCTTTCCATATCTATGTAGCGGTTACATATCCTCTCCAGGAAGAGGTCTTCTAAAAGCTTCTTCTTTGCTGCTCGTGTTTTTCAATTACAATTGCTTAAAATTAGAGTGTCAATTGTTATTACTCCCTTCGTCCTATTTTTATGGATTTTAGTTGGAAATATTGTGCTTTTGAAAACACTAGTAAATTCAAAATTTGTGTTCGTACAACCATTGCTTCTAAAAGTTATGGAGTTAAATCTATGTTCTCACAACCATTGCTTTCACTCTCTCTTCTTCTCACATCTTCTACATATGCTTCAAGGGACCGTGTATTTTCTGCTTCTCCTCTTGTGTCACCTGCTTGCAATGTAAGAAAATTGAAGAGTAGAAGTCCACCATTGGAGACCATTCAAAGCTTTGCTTTTGAAAATGGGTTTTTTTGAATTTGTTAGTTATTTGGATTGGGTGTTGTTCCAATTGATTGAAAATATCAAAAGGAGTTCAAAATTTAAATTTGAAGTGATTTGGAGTAGATTTGAGCAAGATTTGAGTTAAATTTCATAAAGACGCAAGGAAGAAGACCAAAAACCCTTTTTGTATAATTATGTATAATCTTGTATAATAGTGTATATGAGGGTAGAAACACACCTTATACACTATTATACACTTTTATACACCTTTATACAAGCGTCTGTAGACGAACTTCTTCCACGATTTTCAGTTGCAATTCTTGTTCAAAACCAGTCCAAATCTCCATTAAATGACTTCAAATTTTATATACAACCTCCTTATACTATTTCTAACAAGTCTAAATA